AAGCCCCGATCACCATTTTCGCCATCGGGCCTTTTTTGCGGAAAACAAATCTCTGCTGTCTACACTGGCCCTTTTGCGCAAAAGTTTTTCAGAAAAAGACTTTTGCCCGAACGGGAGCAGTATAGTATTTCCGCAAGAACACTGACAATCTTACATGAGATCGTCAGTGCTTTTGTGGAAATTCAAGCGGACAGTGTAGACAGCTGGCAAGTTTTTCCGCAAAAGCAGATGATTTTGCGGAAAAACTTGCCAGTCTAGACACAGCCTGTGGGAACAGAGAGGCTTGAAGATGTTTTAAAGAATGGGAGAGATTAAATAAGAGTGCAGGACAGGACAAATTCTGTACCACAGAGACCATCACAGCAGAAGTTTAATTACACTGAGGAAATTGATCCTCAAAATTCAGCCAGTGGAGCTATAATGTAGAGCAGGTTACCTGAACAAGTTTTACTAAGCTATTTACAAGACCACACTATGGTTTTTTCTTGTACACTTAAAAAGATTTTATAAACTGTTCAGGCTTAAATTATTGCAGAATTTGGCACATTTCATTTCAGATTGCCAACAGCTTTAAACATTATACCAAAAAAACATCCAAAGATCAAGGAAAAATTTCTCTGGGAGGGGCTTATAAGCCAAGACATTTGAGGTTTGGCATTTTTTACATAAACGGAGGGGCAGGGTATTTTTGCATGTCAGAGAGCAACAGTTTTAAAACATTTTGTAGTGTCGCCCCCAACATCAGACAGATGATGCGAGCAACTGGCTGGCAAGATCAGCTGGCCCAATGCTCACCAGAAAGCCTGGGCTTGGCTACGTTTTTACCTGTGGTTTAAACTAAAAAGTTTCATGCTTCAAGTGAGTTAGCAGTGACTGTAACCCCTCCCCTGTTAGATTTCCATTCCCGGCCAGTTTCCATCTCACCATACCTGGGCTGCCATAGCAAAAAACATCCAAAACCGGAACATCTTCAGTGGGATGGCAATTAGATACTGGAAAAAGACAAAAGCAAGGGTCTGAGGCGTGCTGCCCTGAATGTTACTCCTTGACTATAGTAAGCGGTGGACATATGAGTGTGAAGGGTCCAATCCAGACATGACGTCGGTAGGAAGATGACCCTGATGACAGAATGACATTGATCGATTCCCTTCATATTCAAAGGAGCGGAGACAGGAAAGAAAGCCTTCTGAGACGTGCAGAGCTGCCAGCCAGCATAGCACACTGGCCATAGGGACCAGCAGCTGTGTGGTGCAGGTTGGGGCATAGGACAGTAAGGATTGCTGGCACCAGCCTGAATTCAAGCACTCTGTCTAGCTCTAAAGCACAGTCACTCCAGCTAACTGCCAAGCCCCAAGAGTATACCCAGAGAAGTCTCCCGAGCTCTCTGGCTGTCTCTACACACAGCAGCAGTGGTATGGCTTTTCAGTCAGTCTTGCATCTCATACCCCATGAGGATCTAGGACAGTGGAAAAGCTGGTGTTTTGAGTGTGCAGGGCAGCAGTAACTATCGGCGTGAAGTGCACTGTACTTTCCTTTCTTTCTAGGCGAGAAGATGGCACATGGAGGGAGGGTTCCTTCTAAGGATGTGAAGTATCGTGTAATTGACTAGTTGAATAGTCGATACATTTTTGACTATTTGATTGGTTGATAGGTCAATAATCCAAAAAATGTACTATTTGATTAGTCGATAGAGCACCTCCATCTTTGAAGCGTAGCAACAGCCCTATAGAAACAGCCCTAGGACTGCTGCTACACTTCAAAGGCAAAAGTGCCAAAGCTCGGGGTCAGCGGAAGGGGGGGGAGGGCTCCCCCACTGACCCCATGCTCTATGCAGTGCTGCCGCTTTGAAGTATCCCCCTCTTCTCCCACCCCTTGCTGCCTCTATCTGATAGGGAAGCAACTAGCCGACTAGTCCTTAGCATCCCTAGTTCCTTCAGCCCCACGTTCCTTTCCTGGCCACGCCCACCTATGTTGCACCCTGGCCTTGGAGGCAAAAGAGGCTCGGACATGAGGCTAGGGAACAGGGCATGTAACCACTCACCATCTTTAGCAATAGGGTTGTTCTGCCATTCCCTGGGCGGCATGAATCCCAAGGGGCAGGTACCTGAGCAGGCATCTCAGAACTGGGCTCACAGAGGCAAGGCAGGCTTCAGAGTAACTCAGATCTTTGGTTATGAAATATTAAAATAATGGAATTTCCCCGGGGCCCAGTACTCAGGTTCAGCTCTGAAAGGGGGAATCGCCCCAGCAGGCTGCTCCAGGGGCTGGAAGCAGAGACAGGCCTTCAAATGGAACTGTGCTCCCTCAGCACCGAGTGGCTCATCAGTCCCTGATGACTTATTTACGAGTGGGAAACAGAGTCCTATTTTCAAGGAGTTCCTTTTTCTGGGAAATGTTCTGGGCTGGGAAGTGGGCAGGTCCGCACCTGCAAAGCTGCCTCAGTAGCATTTTCCCCTGCCCAGGTCTTTGTTTTATCTGGCCACATCCCCTTGTAGATACAAGGCCCTGGGTCCCTACAAGGATGGAGTCTAGGCTGGTGGAGTTTCGCCTACTTGTGGCACTTAAACCCATTTTCTGCCTAACTTACACTGCCATTTACATCCCCAGTGCATTGAATCCCGCATGCTGACTGCTTCTGAGTGAGCACACCTTGGACACACAGCACTGCCTGGGGTCTGCGGAAGGGACTCTTATCAAAGAGAGAGCATTAGAACCTGTGCAGATTTCTCAGTTTCAGTGAGTGGTCTGTTAAAAGTCAGCGTGAGCCATCTGTGTCTGTCCTCAGGACAGTGCCCCCTTGCTGATGCTGAGAACTGCCCAGATTAGCACTATTGTCACCTACCTCATAGAAACATGCAGAGAGCAGGAATACTGTCATGCGGGCCTGCCACTTGTCATAGCCGTGATGCAGCAAGGGCCTGTATATGTGCCTACGCACACAAGGCAAAAGAACATGAAAGAGAGTCATGTGCATTGCTTCCTGGTGCAGTCAGCCATTAAGCTGAGCTTCAGAGGGGTGGCCGAGTTAGTCTGTAACTGGAAAAACTTAAAAAACAACAAATAGTCTAGCAGCACCTTAGAGACTAACCGAACGTGTAGTCTGGACTTTTAATACTCCAGCATCTGAAGAAGTGGGCTGTACCCACGAAAGCTCATACCACCATCTACATGTTTTAAAAAACAATGAACAACAAAACATGTAGATGGTATCATGAGCTTTCGTGGGTACAACCCACTTCTTCAGAAAAAAACCAGATTTGCTCCAGTCCCCCAGACAGAGACAAACACCTACAGGATCTATATAGAGCATTCTTAAAACTGAAATAGCCACCCAGAGAAGTGAAAAAATAGATTGACAGAGCCAGAAGGGTACCCAGACATGAACTACTTCAAGACACGCCAAGAAGAGAAAACAACAGAATTCCACTTGTCATCACCTACAGCCCACAATGTAAACCCCTCCAATGCATTATCAACAATCTACAATTTATCGTGGAATATGACCCCTCACTCTCACAAGCCTTGGAGGAAAGGCCAATCCTCGCCTACAGACAACCCCCTAACCTCAAACAAATTCTTTCCAGTAACCACACAACAAACCTCCATCATAATCACCCAGGAACCCACCCCTGCAATCAGCCCCGGTGCCAATTCTGTCCACACATGTCCACAAGCAATTTCATCACTGAACCCAGCCACATCAGCCACCACAGTAGGGGTTCATTTAACTGCAAATCCACTAATGTGATCTACGCCAGCAATGCCCCTCGGCCATGGATATTGGCCAGACTGGACAGTCTCTACAGCCGTGGTCACCAACAGGTCGATCACAAGGCCTCGACCAGTTGCTCGCGAGGCGTCCTGTCCGCCCCGCCCCCATTTCCCTCCCACCCCTGAGAATCCCGTGAGGTGTCCTGTCTGCCCCGCCCCCATTTGCCTCCCACCCCCGAGAAGCCCCACTACCTACCTCAAGTGAAAATGGAGGTAGTGTCGGCTTCCTGGGGATGGACAGAAATCCCGCAGCTTAGCGCCACTTCCGGCGATTCCAGAAGTGCGCCAGCTGCTCTGCCGGGCGTACTGCGGGAGGGAGCATTGGCTCCCTGCACCGTACAGGAGGGGTGAGTCAGCCCTGGGGAGGCGCGTACAGGGTTTCCCAGCACCCTGGGGGGGGGAGGGATCGGCCCTGGGGTAGGTGTGCGTGGGGCTTCCCTGCACCAGGGTGTGGGGGTTGGCTGGTGTGCGCACGCGCGCGGGGCTTCCCTGCGTGGGGTGGGGAGGTCAGCCCTGGGGCAGGCATGCGCCAGTTTCCCTCTGGGGGGGAATCCTGGGAGGAGGCAGATGCAGGGGACTCTCTGCCTCCACTGGCACCCCACTCCCCAGAGCACACTCCCCACTCCCCAGACCTCACTCCCCTGTCCCCAGCTACAGAACTCTGTCCCCACTCCCGTCCCCACTCCCCAAACGCTGTCCCCACTCCCCAAACGCTGTCCCCACTCCCCTATCCCCAGCTCCAGAACTCTGTCCCCACTCCCGTCCC